ATTAATACCATACTGTCTTGCAAAGTGGCCAAAGAAATGTGCATTCCCATCAGCACTGTACCCATTCCAGTTGTTCCATCAACACTTGTGATTTTTTTTTTAACCTTAGCTTTTCAAAGGGGTGTATAGTGGCCTCTCATTGATTTCCTCTTTGAACTAGGTTGACACTTTTGTCATAAAGAGATTGACCAAATAAATGGGTTTATTTCTGTATTCTCTCTGCTCTTCCTTTGATCTGCATGCCTATTCTTATGCCAATTCTACAATGTTTTGATGACTATAACTTGATGTTGTCATTAAGCACTGTCCAGTTGGTTTCAACTCATAGCGACCCTCTATAGGGTTTCTGAAGAACAGCTGGTAGATTTGAAGCACTGACCTTATGGTTAGCAGTCCAGTGCTTAGCCTATAGCCTTAGCCATACCAGGACTCCATAGCTTGATACTAAGTCTTAAAAACAAGATGGGTCTGATTTCAGTACCATACTCTTAACCCCAGGCTGGCCACTGTCTTTTGTAAAGGACTTAAGAGAAAATAACCTGAATTTAATAATCCAGATAGTCTTTATCCCAAGTATTCAACACTGCTGCTACCAAAGGAGCCATGATGGTGGTTATATGCTGTGGAGTCGGCTCCCACTCACAGCAACCCTGTATAGGGTTTCTGAGGTGGTAAATATTTACAGGAGCAGAAAGCCTCATTTATCTTCCATAAAACCTCTGGTAGTTTCAAACTGCGGATCGTGAGATTAGCAGCCCAATTATTCCACAGACAATACATAAATGAATGTCTGATAATTTCCAATGGAACTTATTTACAAAAATAGATGGTGATACCAATTTGACTCGCAGGCTACGGTTTGCAGATTCCTGCACTTAGCAATTATGTTATTCTGTGTGGGTTTTTTTCCTTCCTCCTTTTCATTATGCAGCTTTGGGTTCAATAAATATAATGCTGCTTCTAGCACAATGACCTTGAGTATGACCTTGAATGGGATGAGGAAGACCAAGTCCCTGTCTTGAGGGACCTCAGATTAGTAGGGGGGGACGGGACATAAACACATGTCCACAGTTCAAGGCTGGAAAGTCAGTGTCCAAAGAGGGGTAGAAACTTTTCCTGATGGGCACAGGCGGTTTTATTGAGAAGGTGGTACAGGACACGAGCCTTTTAAGAGAATTATGGGCAGAGATGGAAAGGAGACTAGGGGCCAGCCAGATGTTTCCTATCTAGTTCTCACTCATATTTCATTCTCTTTCCCAGCATTCACTCATTATCTCTCTTTTCTGTGCCCAAACCAGGTCGTTTGCCACGTCCCTCACTGTTTTCTCCACTGCTTTCTCTCATCTTCTTTTTTCTTTCTTAAGTACTGAGAACCATCACTGATCCAGTTCTTCTGCAAATGGGCTTAAGATATAAGTTTATATCACACATATTGTCTGAAGTTTCATCAACATGGTGACATGTCCTTCTGGTTTATGGAAGGCAAGCTTTAGCTAAGTAGCTCACAGAACTGCCATTTGGCGCCAGTGAAATATTAACTAGGTTCTGGTAATGCAGTCAAGGTCGAGGTCCTGTAGTTGATCCCAGATGGCCAACGGCTCCCACTTTCGCCTCACTTCCTTTCCTTGTTGCCCAAACTTTCCCTTTGACTTTTCTAGGTCCTATGAATGTCGCGCTTTGAAAATCTTCTTCTTTGTGACGTTTCTCCCTCCCTTCCCTTCCTCCATCTTCCCTGTACTTTCTGGGTTTTGTACTTCTTTTGTTGTTGTTAAGTTCTTTCAAGTAGGTTCCGACCCATTGTGACCCTGTATAGGGTTTCCAAGGAGCAGCTGGTGAGCTTGAACCACCAACCTTGCAGTTTAAACAACTTTGCAGTCTGACATATTAGCCCACAGCACCACACCAAGACTCCAATTGTATTTCTTTTACAGACATGTTATGTCTTTCTCCTCTATGAACATTGATTTTTTAAAAAAATGATTGTTAATTTATTCAGCAAATATTTATGAACAAATATTTAGTAGGACCTTTTCTAAGTGCTGGAGAAACAAAAGTAAACCAAATAGGCAAACATCTCTGTCCTTGTGGAGTTTATAATCTAACAGGGGGAAATGCTGGTGGTGGTTATGTGCCGTGGAGTTGGTTCTGACTCATAGTGATCCTGTATAGGGTTTCTGAGGCAGTAAATCTTTATGGGAGCAGAAAGTCTCATCTTTCGCCTGTGGATCCACTGGTAGATTCAAACTGCTGACCTTGTGGTTAGCGGCGCAGCTCATAATCCATTTCCCTACCAGGGCTCCTTAATAGGGGAAAATACAGCAAACTAGTTCTGCAAACTGTCTAATACAGAGTATGGTAAATGCTACTGAGGAGAAAAAAATCAGAAGTCCTTGAAAACTCCATGAAGCACAGTTTTACTCTGATACACATAGAATGGCCAAGAGTCAGAATCAACTCAACAATAACTGGTACTAGTTCTAGGTTTACCAGTTGTAAATAGAGTGATTAGAAAGTATTATTGAATGATCATTTGAACAGATATCTGAGGAAGCAAAGAAGAGAACCATGCAGGTGTCTGGAGGGAGAGCGTGGAAGGTGTTCCATGCCAATGGAACAGCATATGCGGAATCCTGAGGTGGGAGCGTACTTTGCCGAGTGTGGACCACAAGAAGTCTGTCTAGTTGAAGCCCAGTGGAGCAGGCAGTGATTTGGATATGAGATCAGAGAGTTGTGTGCTACAATAGATTTTATTGTCTCTGCTCCTCAAGGAAAAATTGGGAGATGCTGAGTCAAGAATTGTTAAACATTTTGAACAGTCTTAGGCATTGCTAGGTGATCTAATGCCTAGCACGTAGTGATGGGGGTGGTGGTTATGTGTTGTGGATTCAGTTCCAACTCATAGTGACCCGATATAAGGTTTCTGAGGCTGTAATCTTTATGGGAGCAGAAAGCCTCATCTTTCTCTCTAGGAACAACTGGTGGATTAGAACTGCTGACCTTGCGGTTCGCAGTCCAGCTTGTAATCCATTATGCTACCCGGGCTCCTACCGGCACATAGTAGGCGCTCAACAAGCATTTCTGGAATGAATGAAGATAGGCAATCAAATAGTGAGGCTGAATGGCACCAACAAGTAACTTGCTTATATAAGATTCATTTTCCTGTATACTTTGGATATCTTATTTATTGTCTTCAATTTCATCTAGTGTCAAAAGCACCATGATATAAACTCACTCTTCAAATCCCAATGAGGAGGACGTAAATGTCTCTGTTTACATATTTGAAGTTGTCCCAAGGCAATTTCTCATGTCTTCTATCAACAGCAATTATCAAGTGGACCTCACTTGTTCATCTACCTCCCCCAATTTCCCCAGTAATTGGCCCAGGACAGGGCAGTGTTTCGTTCTGTTGTGCATAAGGTCGCTATGAGTCAGTATCGACTTTATGGGCCCTAACAACAATAAAACAAGTGTGACAGCGGTCGTGAGGTTGGCCCAGGATTGGAAATTGTTTCATTCTGCTGTGCATGGGGTCGCTATGAGTCAGTTCTGACTTGATGGCACCTGACAACAACAACAACAACAATCTGTGAGAGGCTACAGGTTGGGACATCTCTTATTAATCTGTATGTCTTGGCGTCTAGCACAAGGTTTGGCAACGTTGTTTATTGAAAGAAAGCATATATACGGGAGAATAAAGGGAAGTGAAACGAAAATTTGAGTTCTTAATCCCAGCCAGGAATGCTTTTTTCCATGCTCTTAGAAAAAAAAACCCAATTCTGACCCTTTTGGTGTGAGCTTCCCAGTCAGTTTTAATGCACTAGGTTTCCTATCTCTGGTAGCATGTTGTTGTTGAAGTGCCGCCGAATCGGTTTCGACCCATAGTGACCCTGTACAGGGTTTCCGAGGGTGTAAATCTTTACGGGAGTAGAAAGCCTCATCTTTCTCCCGCGGAGCGGCTGGTAGTTTTGAACCGCTGACCTTAAGGTTCGCAGCCCGATTCGTAACCACTATGCTACCAGAGCTCCTTGTAGCATAGTGGTTACAAATCGGGCTGCGAACCCCAAGGTCAGCAGTTTGAAACAACCAGCTACCCCGCGGGATAAAGATGAGGTTTTTTGCTCCCTTAAAAGATTTACAGCCTCGGAATCCCTGTACAGCACTATGAGTCGGAACCGACTCCACGGCACAGAACCAACCAACCATCTTTATGGGAGCAGATCGCCAGACGTTTTCTCAGTGAGTCACTGGTGACTTACCCTGCACCACCAGGGTTCTTTTATACTGTCCCTGTTGTTATGTGCCGTGGAATTGGTTCTGACTCATAGAGACCCTGTATAGGGTTGCGGAGGCTGTCAAACACTGCGGGAGCAGAAAGCATCATCTTTGCCCCCCAGAGCGGCTGGTGGGATTGAACCACCGACCTTAGAGTTTGCAGTCCAGCGCTTATCCTACAGGCCATATGGCATTTACTTATACTGGCCCTGTTGTTGCTTAATGCTGTGGGGTCGGTTCTGACTCAGTGACCCTGAAGTGGGTTTCCAACGGTCGGCTGGTGGGTTTGAACCACCGACCTTGAGGTTAGCAGCAGGCCGCACCAGGACCCCACGGGCTTAGTCACAGGTGACCCCAGGGCAGCACGGCGATGGCCGTCTGAGATCTCGCTGCAGGAGCCGCAGGGTCTAAGCCCTCAGCTTTCCTCGCCCCCATGACTTTTTCAAGACCGAGACCGCCCCCTCCGACCCCCACGCCTCAGGTAGTGCTCGCTCCCGCCAGGGGAAGCCTCGGAAGTCACCCCGCCCATCGCCCCTTCCCCTCAGCCAACTTCCGGCCTCGGCCCCCTCCTCTCAGGCGGGACTTCCGGCCGGCGCCCCCTGTCTCGGCGCGTGGTCCGCCCGGCAGCGCCTGGGGCTCGGGGCGTCTCCCTTGGTGGCGGCGGCGGCGGCTCCTCCTCCTGCTCTCCGGCTTCAGCCAGAGCTGCGAGCGAGCAAGCTAGCGGCAAGATGGCGGCGCCCAGGCTGCCTCCGGCCCGGTTGTCCGGCGTCATGGTGCCTGCACCCATCCAGGACCTGGAGGCTCTCCGTGCGCTTACCGCGCTCTTCAAGGAGCAGCGCAATCGGTAATGGCGGCGGCGACGGCGGGACAGGGGGCTGCGGTGGCCGCGGCCTCCCCTCCTCGCTGCCTATGGGAAGCCCAGCCCTCTGCAGCGCGGGGTTCCCACAAGGTCTGGGAGGGACACATGCCGCCCCCGGTGCAGGTGCGAGGCGGGCGGAGGCCATGGACCGTTGGAGAAAGGATCCACGGAGGCGGGGATGAGCATCCGAGATGCTGCTCAGGTGGTGGCCGAGGGGACCAGGTGTCCAGGCGGCTGGCCGACGTGGTCGTGCACGGTCCCTACCAGCCTGGGCGGGGGGGACCGGCTGCAGAACTTCCCTGTTGGGGGCGCAGACGCAAAACTGCGATCCCGAAGGTCGGGTCAGCGCTGGTTCGCGGCCTCCACTTGACTCACCTGGTGAATGGGAGCAAGGTTGCACTTGCCAGCCTTCTGGTTGCTGCGCGCTGTCGAGTTACTGGGCTTGCACCCTATATTTTATGCTTTGCTCAGTGCTTAGCCCAAGGGAGTAATGTTGAATACCACCTCCTTCATGGGATTGTTGCTGTTAAGTGCCGTCAAGTCGGTTCTGATCCATAGCGACCCTGTATAGGGTTTTCCTAGGAGCAACTGGTGAGCTTGAACCGCTGACTTTGAGGGTCAAGCCAACTTTGCAGTCCAGCTGCATTAACATGCAGCGCTACACCAGAACACCTTAAATGAGATTGTTGTTGTTAACTGCTGTCGAGTTGTTACCAACCCATAGAGGCCCTGTATAGGATGTCCTAGGAGTGACTGGTGAGTTTCAACCTCGGACCTTGTGGTTCAAACCGACTCTGCCGTCGAGTGCGTTATCCAACAGGGCCAAGCCAGAACTCCTTACATGAGATTATGCATATGAAATCCTTACTATGTAAGTACTAAGTTAATGTGTGCTGGTCCATTCTTATTTAACACATTTCTCCATGGTCCACTGTGTACCAAGTAGATGCTGGAGTTGGAAAATGCTAAGTCTTTGCTCTCCCCTGTACTGGGAAGCTAGCAGATAATTGTGATGTAATTTCTGGGCGATGTACCAAGCACACAGGACACCTAGAAGAAAGGAACTCCTTCACTTGGGTTGGTACAGATAATTTAAGTTACACTGAGTACTTCTTTCCCTTCAAATTACAGTAGAAAGTGTGCAGTGGTTGTTAAGTGACCTCGAGTCGATTCCGACTCATAGTGACCCTGTATAGGGTTTCCAAGGAGCAGCTGGTGGTTCGCAGTTCAGTGCTGATCTAGAAGCCCCTTTGGACTCTTAGGGAGGTATAGTAATTGATAACTCCTGAGAGATGCTAAGTCCTCCAGGGCTGGGTGTATCCAGTTCCCAGCGATCCTAACACTGGCCATTTATCCAGCACTTACTGTGAAAGGTATTTTGCTAGGGACTGAGGGCACAAAAAGGAATGGATCATTCCTTTTTTGAATATGCTAGGACAGTTGTGTAAATCAGGACTTTGAACTGGTTCTTCTGGTTCACTCATGACTAATTTAGCAACACCAGAAATGACCTGAATTTGTAAAATGTTGGCATACCAGAAGGAAAACTGGAATGGGAAAAATTACTGGTCAGTGCCCTCCTAGAAATTTCACTCCTTCTTAGAAAGAGGCAGTCTGTGCGTTGCCTAGCATTAGAATCTCTTGAATAGCACAGTTGGGTATAGTGTTGCCCAGCTCATGATGGTGGCTGAGCAGGCCACCTGGATGGAATGTGTGACACTCTCCAGAGCCCTGACTATAATCCAGTCCCCCGCCTCAGGCCACCGAAAGGGCTATTTTTGCCTCCCCCGAGTCTCCCCTTCCAGGCCTTCACCCTAGTTTTTCCTGTTCTGGTTCTTGTTGTTTCAGCACACCAATATTTGTAAGTTTCGGTCTGTTCTGATTTCACAACGCTGGTGGTTACTAAGCTGCTTGGAGCCGGTCTGTGATTGCTATCTGTATAAGAAGCACATAGAGAATGGGGAAGATGGCCAGGGAGGGCTGCTGCTTCCTCCCACCCCCAACTTTTTATTGTCAATTCCATGAAGGCTTACAGAGCAGATCATCAGGTCTACATTTAACAAATTTTGTCCTTTGCTTCAGTACAATGATTGTAATCTCTTCCATATGCCATCAATTAACAGTTGTTGGTGTAAGGTGTCATCGAGTCGGTGACCCTGTGCACAACACAATGAAACATCCATTTCTGAACCACTATCTTTTTCACTGACCCTCCACTTTACCAAGCATGATGTTCTCCAGGGGACTGGTTCCTCCTGGTAATGTGTCCATAGTACGGAAGACGAAGTGTTGCCATCCTGACTTCTGAGGAGTATTTTGACTACTTCTTTTTTTAAATTGTTAACTTTTTATTGTGAATTGAGTGAAGGCTTACAGGGATGATCATCACTTTTATAGTCAACAAATTATACACTTTGCTTCATCTCAATGATTGCAGTCCCCTCCATGGAACCACAGTTATGCCACTTCTTCCCTGGGGGTCTTATTTTGATTCCACCCTCCTTTCCATCCCTTCTCTGACTATTTCTTGAAACACAAGATTTGCTTGTTCTTTTGGCAGTCCACGGTACCTTTAATAATCTCCAACACCATAACTCAAACGCATCAATTTCAGTTAGCAATATTTACTTCTATTTCTTCTAACTCTTGCACTCCCCCTTGTGTCTCCTACGACTTTAATCGTTCCTCTGCCAACCTCCCTCTTATATTCTACCTGCCCTGTCACCCATGTTAACATGTTTCTACCCTCTAGCGGGTAGCCTGGTGTGGCACTGCAGGTTAATGTGCTGGACTGCCAGGTTGGTTTGAACCGCAAGGTTGGCGGTTCAAACTCACCATCTGCTCCTCGGAAACCCTTTACTGGGTTGATATGGGTTGGGATTGACTTGATGGCACTTAACAACAACAACCCTGTAGCCGGTGAACAATTCTCTCCCCCTATCGCAACCATCATAGAATGTTTCATTGATCAAGAAAACCTTTTCTTTTTACAACAGTGGTCTTATACAAAAGTTGCCGTTTTGTGATTGACTAAGTTTACTTTGCATCATGTCCTCTAGGTTGATCCATGTTGAGAGGTATTTTGCAGATTCATCCTTATTCTTCAACCTTACCTTAGCCCATTGTGTGTATGCACCAAAGTTACTTGTTTTAACCATTCTTCTATTGAATGGCAATTAGGTGGTGTCCATCTTTTTACTATTGTGAATACTGCTTCAGTGAGCACGGGTGTGCATGGATCTATTCATGTCACAGCTCTCATTTCCTGAGGATATATACCAAGTAGAGGGATTGCTGGATCATAAGGAATTTCCCTTTCCAACTTTTTGACACAGCACCACACACTATTTTCCACTGTGATTCACTACAGTCTCACAAGCAGTGTAGGGGGGTCCAGTCTCTTCACTCTTAACAGTGTTTATTATTTTGTGTTTTTTTTTTTTTTCCCTAACTTTGCTATTAATGCAGTGATAATTCACTACTGTTTTGATTTTTATCTATCTAATGGCTAACAAATGTGGGCTTTTCTTCATGCTTGTTGGCTGCCTGAATGTCTTCTTTGGAGAAGTGTCTGTTCATGTTCTCTGCCCATTTTTTTATTGGATTACTTGTCTTGTTGTTGATGGGTTGAAGTGTTCTATAAAGTTTGGAGAGTAGTTCTTTGTCTGATAGGTTGTTTCTCTTTTTTCCCAGTCTATAGGTTCTCTTTTTGCTCTTTTGGTGAAATCCTTTGCTGCACATTGGGTATAATTTTGAGGAGGTCCCAGTCACCTATTTGTATGTTTCCAGTTAAGTTCGATAATGTGTCCTATCCTATGTATCAGAGCCCTTAAGTTGGTCCCTATTTTTCTTTGATGATCTTTATAGTCCTAGGCTTTACATTTGGTCTTTAACCCAAATTGAGTTCATATTAGTATACCGTGTGAGATACGGATCTTGTTTCATTTTTCTGCAAATGGATTTCTCGTTTTGCCAGCACCATTTGTTGACTCCTGGTGTGACACTGTAGGATAAGCACTGGACCTCAGGTCGGTTTGAACTGCAAGGTGGGTGGTTCAAACTCACCGGTGCACTTAATCACAACAGAAACATTTGCTGAAGAGACTATAGCTCTTTCCCCCTTTAATATACTTTGACCCTCTGTCAACGATCCACTGACTAGCAATAGATGGATGTATTTCTGGGTTCTCAGCTCCGTTCCGTTGATCTCTGTGTGTCTCCCTGTCCCAGTACCAGGCTCTTCTGACCCCTATGACTGTAGTACGTTTTGAGTTCAGAAAGTGAGAGGCCTCCTACTTGGTTCTTCTTTTTTTAATAATGCGCTGTTTACCCAGGCTTTCTTTCCTTCCCATATTAGTTTCTCTCTTTAAAGAAGGATGTTGGGATCTGGATTGCCGTGGAGTCAGTTCCGACTCATAGAGACCCTGTAACAGGGTTTCCGAGGCTGTAAATCTTTACGGGAGCAGAAAGCCTCATCTTTCTTCTGCGGAACAGCTGGTAGTTTCGAACTGCTGACCTTGCGGTTCACAGCCCGATTCGTAACCACTACGCTACCAGAGCCTTGTATCTATAGATTGCTCTGGGTGTTATTGTTGCTGTTAGTTGGTGATGACTCATAGCAAAGTGACCCTATGCACAACAGAACAGAACACCGCCTAGTCCTGTGCCAACCTCACCATCATTGTTACACCTGAGCCCATTGGCTGCCACTGTGCCAGTCCATCTCATTGGGGGTCTTCCTCTTTTTTTTTCTGACCTTCCACTTTACCAAACATAATGTCCTTCTCCAGGAACATCCTTCCTGATGATATGTCTGAAGTATGGGAGACGAAGTCTGGCCCTCCTGGCTTTCCAGGAGCACTCTGACTATACTTCTTTTTCAAAACTTTTATTGTGAATTGAGTGGGAGTTTACATGGTAGAACATCAGTTTTGCACTCAACCTGTCATATTTTGTTTCATTGCACTGATTACAGTCCTCTCTGT